GATCCCAAAGATTTCTCTTACTGTCCTTTCTTTAAGAAGCTACTAGAGCATGTGTTTCACCCAAATGAGGGTACAATCCAAGGAGGATTATGGGGCACAAAGAATAGGGAATTCAGAGAAGACAAAGGTGAGGGGACTTTCAAGGATAATGGTGAAATGAAGTTCTAGGGTGACAGCTTTTCGACAGGCTGAGAATTACAGCCCAGGCTGCAGAAGACACAGAGGCTCCACAGATGATCTGACATGCTCAGATGTACTGTGAAGCAATACTGCCCTGTAGAAGTGTTGGGGTACATGGTAATGATAAATGTATAAAAAAGTAAGTAAATGAACCCCAGAAAAGCAAATAGTCATATAAGAAAGGAGGTGGGCTCACTTCTAGAGTTCTAATAATGTAAACACTGAACAATGACTTTATCAAAATAGTGCTATCACTATACGGAAACAATAAGTGGAGGAAAAGTAGGGAAAAGAAAGCTAAATCCTACCTGCCATCCTAAAAAGTCAAAGGATAACATCTAAAATTAAAAATTGATAAATATCACTACAGGCATGTTAATTTAAAAATATGAGATTAAATATCAGAAGAAGCAACTGAAAGTTAAAAGTGGCTCCTTCCAAAGAGCAGTTTCTAAGAGTGAAGACAGCTAAGACAGAGGTCCTTTTCCTTTTTACTAAAAGCCATACACTATTTTTTAAATTTTCTTATTTATTTATCTGTAGAGAGGAAGGGAAGAGAAAAGGAGAAAAATATCAATGTATGGTTGCCTCTCGTGAGTCCCCTGCTGGGAACCGGCCTGCAATCCAGGCATGTGCCCTGACTGGGAATTGAACCGCGATGGTGTGAGCTACACCAGCCAGGAAAACCACACACTACTTTATGACTTAAAGTATTAAACTGTTGTATCTTTTAAAAGATTTTATTTATTTGTAGACAGAGGGCAAGGGAGAGAGAGAGAGAAACATCAATGTGTGGGTTGCCTCTCCCACATCCCCTACTGGGGACCTGGCCTGCAACCCATGCATGTGTCCTGACCGGGAATTGAACCCGTGACCCTTTAATGCGCAGGCTGACGCTCAGTCTACTGAGCCACACCAGCAAGGGCTAAAGCGTTAAACTGTTTTAAAATAGCATGACTGTAAAACATACAATACAAATATATGTATTTATATACCATTACATGGTATATAATGCACAACGTGTTTAATGTGCATTGTGTAAAGTGTTTTAACAATAAAACTGAATTAAAATTAAAATATTTGCACAAGAAAATCAGATATTTATATTTTTATGTTTATTGTTTATTTATATTCATATTTCAATTATAACATTTGAGATAGTTAAAACTATACAATCTGGATGCTAAAAATAATTCCAAAAGAAGAGTTATAATTTCTTAAAATCACCACTTTGAAGAAGACCAAAAATTTGAATGTATGTGTTTTAGTATGTTTGCTCTAAAAAAACTGCCTCAAGAATTTATGGTAAGACGGTTCGATTCCTAGTCAGGGCACATGCCTGGGTTACAGGCCAGTTCCCTGCTGGCCAATTCCCAGCAGGGGATGCCCAAAAAAGGCAACTGTACGTTGATGTTTCTGTCCCTCCCTCCTTCCTCTCTAAAGATAAGTAAATAAGTAAAATCTTAAAAAAAAAAAAGAATTTATGGTAAGAAATCAATGACTTGTTAAAATAGATACATGTTTAGGAAAAAATTAAATAAGTAGGTCATAATGGATGACAGGCTGAACCAGTCAACAAAGCTGTAACTGCCTGAAAGAGCCAATGTGATGCTAGACAGCATGATTATATAACACGGAAGTCAGATAATCCCCTCATTATGCTCAACACCAGTTACATTCTTACTAGAAACTCATGCTCAGATCTGGAACTCACAGCTTGAGAAAGATGCAGACAAGTTGGAGTGATATGAGTTAAAAGTAGTTAAAAAGCTCAATACTCAGAAGACCTATGGCAACATCCAAGGTAGCTCATAGTCTGGAGACAGAAAGGCAGGGAAGTAAACTGTCTCCCAGATGCCACACTATAGGATCACCCATATAAAGCTGAGGACCTCTGCTAGAAAAAGATTAAGAGAAAGAGAGAACTAATATATCTAAAATATAAAAGGAAGAACTTAGGTTATAAATAACAGAGTTTCAGAGAGTTCTGGAGATAAACTCGTCAAAAACAAATGAATAGTCTACTTTAATGATCTTGGGGAGGCAGAGAGAAAAGGGAGAGGAATCCATCACACATTTTTCCCAAATGGCACCCACAGGAATGCCAGGGAGTAACTAAGAGTTCTTGAATTCAAAGTTCAGGAATTACACACAAAAAGGAAAACCAGTTTTATCTGTGTTTGTAAAAATGTACCAAGTAAAACTTTAAAGTTGCCTTGTTATCACAAATCTAGTGAAAAATTAGACTGGAAGGACCACTTTGTTTCTTACATCTAATCTTCCACAACTTTACATAAGTAATAGCCTAAAGTCTCAGAAGTTTGCTTAATTTGCAAGTCATCCTATGGTTGTTCCAGAGTTAGCCAGTGTTTAAATTTCAACTCTCAAAAATTAATGAACAAACCATTAGAAATTAATTATTTGATCCAGCCCCACCTCCCTTAGCTTAGAATTAACTGCTTAAGCCCGGATCAGTGTGGCTCAATAGTTGGTTGGGCATCGTCCAAAAAAATGAAAGGTTGCCAACTGGATCCCTGTTTGAGGCACATTCCTGAAATTGTGGGTTTGGTTCCCAGTCAGAGCACAGATGAGAGGCAACAGATTGATGTTTCTCTTACATTAATATTTCTTCCCTCTCTCTAAAAATAAAACATTTTTGTTTTTTTTCAAAGAATTAACTGTTTGAGAAGATAGAGGTATAGGTAGATACACTGTGCCTCCTCACACAACTGAAAGAAAGACAACAAAAAATAACCAAAACTGCCAGAAAATTGAACTGTATGGAAGTCTAACAATCAAGGAGTTAAAAAAGAAACATTTATCCAGACTGGCAGGAGGCAGGCAGCAGGGCCAGAGGGGACTCATGGCAAAGTGGCGGCTGGCAGACCAGAACGGGCAAGGTGGTGCTGGTAGACTGGGCAGTCTCAGATTAGTGTGCAAATAAATCCGGAGGAACAAATGGGAAGCAAGACAGACTGTGCAACCGAGGGTTCCAGTATGAGGAAATAAAGCCTCAAAATTTCTGATTGAAAAAACCTGTGGGGGTTAAGGTAGGAGGAGAAACTCAGCCTCACAGGACAGTTTGTTGGAGAGACTCACAGGGTCCTAGAATGTACAAAAACCCACTCACCCATTAATCAGCACCAGAAGGCCCCAATTTGCTTGTGGGTAGAGGAGGAAGTGACTGAAAGCCAGCTGAGAGCTGAGCAAGCAACACTGTTCATTCTCAGACCCCTCCCCGACAATACAGCAAAGTGGGATGCCCTGCCCTGGGGAATATCTAAGGCTTCACTCTTTACCACATAACAGAAGTGCCAAGACCAAAAAAAAATGTCCCAAATGAAAGAACAGATCAAAGCTCCAGGAAAAAACACAACTAATTGATGAAGAGATAGTGAACCTATCAGATGCACAGTTCAAAACACTGGTAATCAGGATGCTCACAAAAATGGTTAAGTATGGTTGCAGAACTGAGGAAAGAATGAAGGCTATGCAAAGTGAAGTAAAGAAAAATGTACAGGGAACCAACAGTGAAGGGAAGGAAACTGGGAATCAAATCAATGGTTTGGCCCAGAAGGAAGAAATAAACATTCAACCAAAACAGAATGAAGAAATAAGAATTCGAAAAAATGAGGAGAGGATTAGGAATCTCTGGGACAATTTTAAACATTCCAGCAAACAAATCATAAGGGTGCCAGAAGGAGAAGAGGAACAGCAAGAAATTGAGAAAATAATGAAGGAAAACGCTCCCATTCTGCCAAAGGAAATAGACTTCCGAGAAGTCCAGGAAGTCCAGGAAGCCCAAAGAGTAGCAAAGAAGTTAGACCCAAGGAAGCACACACCAAGGTACATCATAATTACATTACCCAAAATTAAAGATAAGGAGAAGCCCTGGCTGGTGTAGCTCAGTGGATTGAGCGTGGGCCTGCGAACCAGACAATCGCAGTTCGAATCCCAGTCAGGGCACATACTGGGGTTGCAGGCAGGTTCCCTGCAGGCCAGTTCCCAGCAGGGGACGCATGAAAGGCAACCATACATTGATGTTTCTCTCCCTCTCTCCTTCCCTTCCCCTCTAAAGATAAATAAATAAAATTAAAAAAAAAAGATAAGGAGAGAATCTTAAAAGCAACAAGAGAAAAGGAGACAGTTACCTACAAAAGAGTTCCCATGAGACTATCAGCTGATTTCTCAAAAGAAAACTTACAGGCAAGAAGGGGCTGTAAAGTATTCAAAGTCATGAAAGGCAAAGACCTACATCCAAGATTACTCTATTCAGCAAAGCAATCATTTAGAATGGAAGGGTAGAAAAAGTGCTTCCCAGATAAAGTCAAGTTAAAGGAGTTCATCATCACCAAGCCCTTATTATATGAAGTGTCAAAGGGACTTATCTAAGAAAAAGAAGATCAAAAATATGAACACTAAAATGATAAACTCACAGCTGTGAATGACTTAACCAAAAAAACAAAAACAAACTAAGGAAACAACTAGAACAGGAACAGAATCACAGAAGTGGAGGGTTATGGGCGTGGGGAGAATGGGGGAAAAGGTACAGGGAATAAGAAGCATACATGATAGGTACAAAACAGATTAGGGGAAATCAAGAATAATATAGAAAATGTAGAAGCCAAAGAACTTATTTGTACGACTCAAGGACATGAACTAAGGGCGGGAAATGCTGTACGGAGGGGGGTGCAGAATGAAGGGGAATAAAGGGGGGAAATAGGACAACTGTAACAGCATAATCAATAAAATATATTACAAAAAAGAATTAACTGACTGATTTTCCATAAACTGAAAAGCTGGACTTATTCCCTCTTTACCTTCAGTGCTGAGAAGAACATGTGGTCCACTGCCATAACTAAGGCTTTTAATCTTCTTTCCACATAAAGCTTCTAGCTTTTTGGGTATAAGTGTACTCTGGTTATCTCCAATTCCTAGACAGTTACTGTAGTTCAGTCCAAATACAAAGACCTAAAAACAAATAGTTCTGTTTGAGTCGTTTGGCTTAAAGTTACACAAAGGCTCTCTTCTTCACTCTGAAAATAAGGCACATTCAAGTTCAATTTAACAGCTCAATAGACAGGGAAAGGCTAAAAAGGTAAAAAAAAAAAAAGTGAACCTCTGCTGACATTACTTAAGTTTCAGAATGTTTAGCTATAGTATGGAACGCAGAGTAGTAAGAATGGAATGGTATTAAATCAAGAAACTGAAAGAAAAGACAAATTATGTCAAAAATGGTGTTCTTTTATTCCCCACCTTTTCTTAATCTTCAAACTGAATGCTTTAAAGCTGATTCCCAAAATAAGTCCTAAAATTAAAATCTGGATTTTGAGAGATTCTTACCTCATCACTGTCAGTAACGTACAGTGCTTCATTGGCTGAGGTGCCAAAGACACATGCTTTCCGAATAGATGCAATTTCCTGAGGTGAAAGCAGAGTGAAGATTGGCCACTTTCCTACATCCACCATGACTCTGGCTTCAGGCAATTCCTATAAATGCACTGACATCCTTGCTGTAACAAACAAAAAGGATTACAAGCAAAAATTAAATAACTACTAAACTAATTTTATAAAAGACACTGCTAATAAAAGAAAAAAAAAAAGCTAATTCCAAACTAAACTATCCACCTTTGGTCAAACAGATTGCTCACTTTCCCCAGCAACACTGTATAATCCTTCCGCCTTCAGATCTAGGCCTTTGCCTATAATGGGAGCGAAACTTTCTACAACCAGTTGTCTTGTCTGTCTTGAGTACTTATAAGGCAGTGGTAATCTGTTATATACATGCTCATATGCAAACAGACAGCAGATAACAGAGGGAAGACAAGTGAACTGGATGAAACCAGGATCTCTCATCAGGAGGGTGAGGGTAGGGTGTGTGTGTTATAAAAATCAGAATCATTATCTCTATCTTCCCACTTTCCCATCGCCACCTCCAGTATGCACTGAAAAACTCCTCACTCCTGTAGAATACCACTGCCACACCAAGCCACTGTTTAACAATGGGAATGGGTCACCCCTCAGATAGTTTAGAGTGAAAATATTAAGAAGCACTAGCCGAAGATTTATTGGATAAAATAAAGTATTATATCCTGGTCCCAATTTATATGATCACATTTTCTACATATACACAGACCATATTTCACACTGAGAAAAGTTATTTGAACGAGGTGAGACAATTCACCCTAATTTTGATGTTGGAGCTGATGGCTTATAGTCTTTATGCAAGTAGTAATTCGCTTAAGCAGTACCCAATAAAAAGTAGAGTGATGTACAAAGTCCCTTAAAACTTTAATTTGATATGTTTAAGGAGTTTTACACAAAGAATCCTGGTCATGGCTTCAATTCTTCCAGGGTTAAAAAGTATTTCCAGAAATTACAGGGGGCAGCACAAGCAAAAAACTCTATTGTGCCAAGTGAATTTCCATTCTGGCTCTCAGCTCTGGAACCTGAAATAGAACCAAACAGTTGGTAAATACAACCACAGTTCCCTAGGAAGATACAGAACCCCTGAAGTTCCTTTCTATTCACTCTCTTCTCAGACCTCTAAAAATAGCCAAGAGAGGCTGGCTGAAGACCAAGATCTTTTTCTGGCTCCAGCACTCATGACAACACTAAAAGTATGCCTCAAAGCTTGAGCATACTCAGCCAAGGCCTCAGTTTCCATCATCCAGGGAGATTTTTTACCATCGGCACCAATTTAGATGACAAGAATCAGATGCCTGCTATGCCCGAAGTATCATATCACATATTCAATAAACTTAATACACTATTCTCTGTCACTGCACATCCAGCCAGATTTCTGGAATAACATTTGAATGTTCTGAAAATTGTGCATGCAAGAGTGTGTATATATGTGTGTTGGAGGGAACAGGTAAAGGATTTAGGGAAGGGTAAAAGCTAATATATAAACATGTTTAAAAAATTTTGTTTCAAACAGTACAAAAGAGTATAGGAAAGTAAGTCTCCCTACCCTCCCTTTCAGACCCTCTCCTCAAAAGCAACCACTGTCAGTACTTTCCACTCATTCCAGAGATAGCACAGATTTACATTAGTATTATATGTAGGTGTGTGGAAGGTGTCCCCTCCCACTTAACAGCACATCTTGCAAATCATTCTATATTAGCACATGTAGACCTACTTCATTTCTTTTTCAGTGGTACTACAGAGCATTCCATTACATAGATTGAACAATTAACCTGTTTCCACTGGGACATTTAAGTCATTTTCAGTCTTTTGCTTACATAAATAGTACTGCAGTTACTATTTGCATATATTATTGTATATATCTATCTTTTTAATACATAAATTTCTAAGGTAAACTCCTAGAAATGGAACTGCCAGCTCAAAATTAAATAGCTGGTTTACCTTTAACAGCTATTTCAAGTTGTTCTCTATTAAAGTAGTACCGACATATAAAATAACCATCCATCTATGTCAGCACCTGTTTACCCACACTCTTATTACACAGTGTATTATCATGGGTCTTAGTTTTGTTTAAACTTCAATTCCTCCTATGATGAATGAAGTTGGGAATCATTTTTAGAAATAATCACAATAATAGCAACAATAACGAATATTTCTTCAGCCCTTTACACCAAGCACTATTCTAAATATTTTACATTTATTAATCATTTAATCCTCACTTTAGAGATGAGAAAACTGAGGCAAAAGGATACTAAGAATTTGCTCCAACTAGTAAGTGACAGCATGAAAACCTAAAGCCCTGCAGCCTGGAGCCACCATGTGCATTCTTCACCTGTTGGGCTCACATGTTTAAGAGCCCATGTGCTGTCCTTTTATATGAAGTTCCTACTTTTCTACTAGACTGTTTTTCTTTTTCTTCATTATAAGTGTTCATTGTATGATAAGAAGATTGTTTTAAATATTTTAGAAGTAACAAAAAGATGCCCCCAAATGGCCTGCTCTGTGCCTCTTACAAAACAGGCAAGGAAGAGTCACAAGAAGTAAAACAGTGTACATGTCTAGGAAGTCAAAAAATTCCAAGAAAATCCAGAAGCATATTTTCCTAGAATATGAATCAACCATATCAGAGTTAGTCTTCAAAATTTAATATTTTCTGTTATATAGAATTGAATTTGAAATAAATAAAGAGGGGGAGAAGACATAAAATTAATTAGCCATAATATAAGATTTACCATCTTTAAAATCATAACACAAAGGGATATTACCATTCAACATGTAATTTTCTGAGAGCAGTACAATTATTCTGAAAGTGTTAAACAGTTACAGGCAACTCTGCCTCAAGGGTTTGGCAATCCACTGAAAAATCAAGGTAACTTTCTTTTTTTTAAATTACTAAGCCTGTTTTTTTTAAAAGACTGTATTTATTTATTTTTAGAGAGAGGGAAAGGGAGGGAGGAGGAGAGGAAAAAAAGCATCAATGTGTGGTTGCCTCTCATGTGCCCCCTACTGGGGACCGGGCCCACAACCCAAGCATGTGCCCCGACTGGGAAACCAACCGGTGACCCTTTGGTTTGCAGGCTGGCACTCAATCCACTCAGCCACACCAGCCAGGGCCAAGCTAACTTTCATAATGATAGCTTACTATATGAACTGAGTATACCCATATTGCTAAATTACTTGATGCTTTATTTTACAAGATATTTCTCCAAAGACTTGTAATTTAAGAGTCAATACCCTGACCAGTGTGGCTCAGTTGGCTGGCCCACAAAGTGAAAGACTGCAGGTTGATTTCTGATTAGGGCACATGCCTAGATTGCAGGTTCCTCCTGGCAGGGCACGGGTGAGAGGCAACTGATCCATGTTTCTCTCTCACATCAATGTTTCTCTCCCACCCTTACCCTACCTCTAAAAAGAAATCAATAAAATCTTTAAAAAAGAGAGTCAATACAAAAACCAAGTCATATATCTTCCATGTCCACACCCATCATAGAAGCAGAAAGTATCACCAATAATGTGGTGGGAAGGATTGGGAGTCCTGAGGCCTGTGTTTAGTTACAGGTTTATTTTCAACTACTTTAATCAATCAGAGTGGCATGCCACTTGCTTTTCCAAGCCTGGGTTTCTCAAAAATATGTTTTGTAAAAAACTATAAGTATATGTTCAAGATGAAATAAAACAGCTATGGGGGAAAGCAGGAGAATGACAAGGGCAGTATGTTGGTCAAGCAAGTATTTAATAATTTCTCCTAATAACACAAGCAAACAAAGAACAAACTAACAATGATCAAGAATCTGCTTTGTTGTAGACACTGTGTTAGGTAGCTTTATATACACTGTTTCATTTAGTCCTCACAATGCTCTTATAAGGAAGAAACCATAACCCATTCTCAGCAACAGATGAGAAATGAGACTCAAAGGAAATAATTTCCCAATATCACAGAGCATTAAGTGGCACAGTCAGGATTCAACCCCCACCTCTCTCATTCTTCTTACAGAAACATCAATCCTGAACTTTCCAATGCCTAAACTTCTCCAATATTACTTCTGTACAACTTTAGCCTCGTAAATGTACACCAGCATCCAGTTTTCAAATGCTTTAAGTATAAAAAGCACTTCCCAAAAAGAATTTTCCAATATGCTTCTCTCTAAATTTGCCTGGTTAAACCTTGCGACTGTTATTCATTCCTTCATTCTTCTAAAAGCCATTGGGAGGACGACCCTAGAAACCAAATGTGACCTTTGTCCTCAGGGGTGCATAAGACTGTCTGAGCGCAAGGTGCATCCCTAGGCTATGGACTGCTAAGGTATAAAAATGTCTTCATTTATGCTTAACCTGGGCAGTTGATGACATGAACAGGTGACCCTCAGAATTCAGGCAAGGTTCTCCAAAAGGCTCTTTGGAGATATTAAAATCCAGAACGTACTATGTTATACAGAACAGCATATCACAGTCTCGAGCTTAGGGATACAGCACGTATTTCCTGAAGCAGCACAATGTGAATGTAAATGTAAATACCACCAGAATTTTCTAATTAACACAAAATTGCCACTATCACCATTATAATGAAATTATTGTGGTGAGATGTTTAATTACTTCATTTTCCTTGGAGCAGAGGCAACTTTGCTAGTGTTAGGGAAATCATACTAAGTATCATAATTCTTTCAGTTTCAGACTTAATATTTGACCATCTACCACAAAACTATAAAGAGTGTATACGAGTGAGTCTAAAAACTAAAACAGGTGTAATCACTAAAAATTAACTAGCTCAATCTGTTACGAAATCTCTGTCAGACTTAAGAACCTTGTGGCTGACCCCAAAACCCAAAATCTATCACAAGAAGAGCAGCAGTAGGATAGCTCTGATATCTTATGACATTTACTAGATTTGCCTGAATATGAAATAGACATATTAACAGTTTTGTTCTAATTGTATGGATTCTACTTTAAAGGAATAAAAATATAAACTAAATTTCATTTTAGTCATTACTCCAGAGGGTGTCAAAAATTAGATACTTCAAATAGTATCAAATAGTACCTATTCTCACGTTAAAAACAAAACATTCCACAAAAACAAATATACCCTGTA